CTGATGGGACAAAGGCACGGTGCGTTAGCGGGCTTCTTAGAGCTCAGCAACAGCAGCAAATACCGGAGGCGACCAGGAATGGTGGGGCAGGCCATAGGAGACCCGCAAGACTCTCAAACCTCAGCAGCCGCTGCACTCCAGTCCTCCGTCCTCTCTGCTGCCCCACTCTCAGTCCAGGCCACTGATGAGCAGACTTCGTGCAAGACAGAAGTGAGGGACTGGGTAGCACCGGAGAGCGAAAGGGATAAATAGAAAGAAATTCCGATTGTAGGAGCTGAGGGAGGAGAGCGCCAGGGCAAAGCAGGCTGCGTTCACTTTCCGAGTAGGGGCGGCGGGTATTGTTTTTAGTGCCTGGTAGGTACATTCCTTCCACCTCCCATCCAGTTTGGTAAATATTAACAAATTGGGGCGCGGTTATTTTCTGGAGTGTGTTTGGTGGGTTGGTGGGAGGGGATGGGTAGGGGAGGTTCCTCCTCTCCAGGAGCCCTCTCCTCTTCCACAACCCAGCCACACACACACACACACACACACACACACACACACACACACATGCTTATCAAAAAATCAATATTGTTTTTGTCACCCCTCTGTCTCCTTTTTACTCCCTCAGCAACTCGGGTGCCACTGAAGCGAATTGTGGATTTATGGAGGGAAATCAGCATAAATTATTGCAAAATCTGCAGCCGTGTGTGGTCCAGCTTGTGGGAAAAGAGGCTCTAGTAAACTCAGTGGAGAAAGGTGGTGGGCGGTGGGCTTGGCGAGGCGATGAACGATCCTTGCTGGAGGGGATTTCCATTTGGTTGGCACATGGGGTATAATTGACTTGTGTGTATTTTATACAGTTTTCTCAACAACCTTTTAAGCCCCCGGGTCTGATGTTGCCCCCTCCTACCTCCACCCAGCTTCTGTTGGCTTTGGGTTTTGTACAATAGACTCTGACGCACTTTTTCAAGATTTCTGGAAAGCACTCCTCTTTATAGTACCAGCCTTGAAATGCTATAAACAGCTTGCAAGCGCTCCCTCCCTCCCTGGGGGCTTTGAAGACCTCTGACAGCAACCGAGGTAGAACTTGTAGCAATGCCCACGAGCTAAATGCACCTCTGGCAACTCCTTCCAAACTTAGGCGATTAAGTTCTGTTTACTTGACTAACCCTGAACACAGGCAATGAGCCTCCTCCGCTCCTTTCTCGACTGTAGCCAGATTTTGAAAAGTCCTCAAACACTAGTTCCTACTAGTATTATTGCATGAACTCGGTGGTGTCAATTTTCCCCAGGAAGATGAATAAAGATTTATTTCAAGTTAGGTTTTTTTTTTTTTTACGTGAAAGTTTCCACTTTTAGAATTTAATCTTTCATTTGCTCTGAGCAGTGACTTCGACAGCCACACAATGGTCATTTTTGCTGGACAACAAAATGCCAGTTATTAAAATGAGAAAACGGTATTCTGTTTCCTTTCCTCGCTGTTAACAAGCACCTTTACGGTGTAGGAAAGCATCTTGCTGGTTGTCACTGGAGGGAAAGTGACTGTCTTTTACTATCTCGAATGCAACCACCATAAACATCTATCTTTGCATTTCATTATGAACCCATGCACATGTTTGCTTTAAAAGAGGGATCTTTAAAATACTCAGGGGCTGCCACGCTGGTAGTTTTCCACCTCCCAGCAATCTTGCTTCGTTTAAAGTAACTCTTGCTTTAGTGCCACCAAAGCCAGTGGTATCTGGAGCAAGCAAGACTTGGACGAGCCCTCCACCCCTTTTCAAACATCCCTCGGGTTCTCCACCCCTTTGCGCTCCCAGCTCCTCCCACCTCAGGCCCTAGAGCCTAACCCGGGCACGCGCAGAAACACCCCCAAACCTCAGTCGGTTAGCTGCGATAGCGCGCGCGGCTCAGGCCAGCAGGACTGCCCCCGGGCCAACTGGGCCAAGGGTCCAACTGATTTAATCTTTGGAGAAAAGAAATCCACATATCTGCCCTGCTCTAGCCTTGTCCCCAGAGAGAGGTCAACGCCCCTACCCCCACCTCCCTGCTCCTACCTCCTCCTCCTGGTTATTTTTTTCCGAATTAAGAAGGTGACTTGAGTCTTTCCTTCAAGCACTCTGTTAATATTGAAAAACGTGCGCTTGCATCTAAAGCGCGGCAGCCCAGGCGCCAGAGCCATTTCAATATTAATGAAATTGTTTAATCTCCTAAATTCGTCGTGTTTAAGTTACGTTTTGGTGAGTTATTGACCAGCTTCGAAACTGTGGTTAATGAAGTTATGTGAGCGGGTGGGTGTGCGCGCGCGCGTGCTCGCAAGCTGAAAGGTCTTCTTAAAAATGCCATCTACAGACTGATGCTTTACTGTCATTCAAAGTGTAACAAACTTCACACCAGAACTCTCAGTCTCCTCCTGGAGACTGAGAAGAAAAGGAAAAAGAAGGGGAGGAGGGAGAAGAAAAGGAAAAGGAAAGAGGCTTCCGGACTTTAAAGATGGTTCTGTGTAGGCTGTAAGTATTGAGTATTTAACATGATGGCATGGGGTTCTTTTTAAAACCGCAAAGGCCCAGGAAAGCGCTGAAAAACGTGGCAGTTCATGGCTGGTACTCATAGCATGTGTGCGGACGGGCTGACTCACTGTTTATTTCATAGCAGTTTGATGATGATGACGACGAAGATGATGATAATGATAATGATTCAGTTAATCCTCACAAGACAAATCCGAACTCAAAGGAGCCCGATACCTTCACCAGGCCCAACGTCCCCACCCCCACCCAGAAATACTAGCTGGTCCTTCGCAGGTCTCAGCAGGCACTGTTTGTCTTTTCAGGGCATTCTAAACTACAAAGAAACTATTCCCACGTAAAAGGAGGGAAGGAGGGACTATAAAATGCTGACCTGCTAACTTCCAGGAACCCCAAGGCTGGCCAAACACCTGGAAAAAGGAAGAGACCCAGAGGCCATAACGATCTTAGACAGACTCAGGCCCTCCCCAGGTCTGCATGCCGCCTGCCTCAACGTCCCCTGTGCCTCCTTGTGCACATCAAATTGTTTAAAAGACTGATAAAACAAACGCCTAGAACCTTCGTCCCTTCTTTTCTTTTCCTTAAAAAACAAACAAAAACTTATGCCTTGGCCTGGAGAGATGCCTAGGCTCATAACAAAAAATATAAACAACTTACCTACATTCAAAACAGACTCTTCTATCCAGCGGTCCGAATATTCATGTCTATGTGTGTCTATTAACCTTATCACCTTTTAGAGCGACATACTCCAGTGTGCAGCTTTGAGGCTTCCTGGAGGCCAAATCAAACTTCGACCTGCCTCTTCCAGGACTCGCGGGTGGTGCTGGGCGGGTGTGTGTGTGGGGGGGCTATGTTTCCATTCTAAAACCGATCCAACCTACCCCGGGCAGTGCCAAGTAAAGTAAAAGGGTCGCCCTTCAAGAGAAAGCCTGTGCTAGAAGTTAGCTAACAATACAAACCCGATACAATGCGGAGGAAACAGAATACCCCAGCCAAGCAATTTCCATGTCAAACACCGTCTGCGGTAGCTAGCTCAGAGCGTGAAAGGTCGCCTGGCTCCCGGCTCCGCGCGCGGGTTCGCTCATACCTTCCCAACGCGCACACCGGCTGGCGCTGCCCGCTCCCCGCGGGCGGCAGAGGCTCTTCCCGGTCGCCCCGTCTTCTGCTGGAAGTGATTCCTATTGGCCAAGGTGTCCATGTAAATAGGTGTGAAAGAAACAAGTGCTGGCCAGGCTCTCTCCCCTCTCCCTCAGTCCCCTCCCCCTGCAGCCCCCGCTACCCCCCTCCTCTTCCTCCTCCCAAG